GCGTCCCGGACCCGGTGGCTTAAACTCACGCCGGGCACATGTGCGTGTGTGCCCAAGATCCCGAGAGGAGAATGGAGGAGAAGGGATTGCGGTGTGACCATCCCCCCTGGGGGGTGATTTCTCGCTTTCTGTCTCTATGTCTCTCTCTGTCTGTCTGGCGAGCGCATGTGCCCTATAGCGAAAACCTCTCCAAAAAAAAAAAAAAAAAAACCATTGTGGGACTAGTAGTTAGCATAACTATGTCGCTGGACTCCCATGAAGTCGACTGTAGTTCAAGGCCTGGACCAGGTGGCTTAAACTCATGCTGGGCATGTGTACATGTGTGCCCAAGATTCCAAGAGGAGAATGGAGGAGAAGGGATTGCAGCGTGGCCATCCCCCCTGGGGGGTAATTTCTCGCTTTCTGTCTCTATGTCTCTCTCTGTCTGTCTGGCGAGCGCATGTGCCCTATAGCGAAAACCTCTCCAAAAAAAAAAAATAATAATCATTATACTTCTAGGCATTGCTTCTCTCTCTTTCCTGAATCTCCTAGCTCCTTTAAAGCTCATGTCATAATCCTGGGGCCAGCAGATGGTGTAATGGTTATGTTGCTGGACTCCCACATAATCAACCACAATTCACGTCCCGGAACCGACAGCTTAAAACATACCAGGTGCATGTGCACGCATGCCTAGAATCCCAAGAGGAGGATGGAGGAGAAGGGATTGTGGTGCAGCCATCCCTCATGGGGGATGATTTCTCATTTTTATCTCTTTCCAGTGAGCACACGCACCCTATAGCAAAAAATCTCTCTCTCTAAAAAAATGGAAAAAAAAATTAAACTCATGTCATAATCTTAGTTTGTAGGGAATGACATACTTTTCTATATTTTTCTGTGCAAAAATGTGTCATGATTTTCCTGACAACCCAATACTATCCACTATTCCTCAGTTGTTCATACCTTCCACAGACCTCTAAAGATACCCCCCTTAGGATTTTAATTCTTACAGAGTTTAACAGATGGCTCGATACCTCTTTCCCAACTACTCCTGCCATAATTCTTAGCAATTCCAATTGAACAATCTTCCTAATACTCAAGCCCCTCAGTTTCTTGATTTCTTAACCACAAATGGTTTTGTTCCTCCACCTAACCTTAACTGCCAATGCTTTTTTTTTTTTTTTCTCTTTTAAGAGGTTTTTGCCATAGGGCACATGTGCTTGCCAGAGATAGATAGACACAGTGAGAGGGAAAGTGAGAAATCACCCCCCAGGAGGGGTGACCACACTGCAGTCCCTCTTCCATTCTCTTTCCGGGTTCTTGGGCATGCACACACACACACCTGGCGTAATTTTCTAGCACTTGGTCCAGGACTCGAACCAAGGTCAACCATGTGGGAGTCCAGCAACAACCATTACATCACCAGCTGACCTCCCGTAACTACTAGTTCTCATGGTTATCAGAGAACTGGTCATTTTTAGTAACTGAAACTTCTCCAATTTCCATTTTAAACTTGCTTACTTCCTTTAATGTCCTCTCCAACAATTCTTCAACTCCCCTGGGTCCTCAATCTAATATTCCTTCCAACTTTGCAATCTCCATTGCAGCCTCTGCTGCAATGAGACTTTGCAAGCCTCACTTCCTTGGTTATTTTTCACTATCCAATATTATAAAGCACTTGTAAACACCCTCAACTCCCTTGCTCTGGCCTCTGTTGAACATACTTGTGTAGTAACACCCCAATCGGAGTTAAACACAATTCTCAGCCATTCTGTGCCTGCACACGAGGGACTGAGCACACCGGAGAAAATATACAATCAGGCCAAGTAGCATCTCTTTAAATCCATGACCATACACCATAAAAGTGAACTGTTGAAGGCTTAGCAAAGATACGTTTGGAGAGATTACAACCTGAGTATAGGGTTCTGTCTTTCAACATACGTGCGTACAGTATATACCCTAAAATAATGAGCATTATGCTCATTATGTTCCAAATCGGTAAAATACCCAGGTTCTGAGACCAAAAATGGATGTAGGAGTGTCCCAGTTTACCATCACTCAACAGGTCTGATTGCACTACAATCCCTTTCCCTAGCTGTCTAACTCAACAGGCTTACTTCCGGTGGACAGGCTTACTTCACCTGCTGGCATTTGGGCCCTCTAGACCCATGGTTGGCGTGTGGCTTCCAGCACTGCAGTTCGGTTTGCTACCCACTGTGCTGCACAGGCTGCGCCTGGATACAAGACTTTTATCAGATACCTAATTTACATTTATTTTCCCATAATCTGTGGCTTTGTCTTTTCATTCCCTTAGTAGTGCAGATGATTGATTTTGATGAAATCCATTTGTCAATTTTTAAATGGATCATGCTTGTTCAGAAATGTATGGAAGTAATCTTTGCCTAAAAACATTCACAAAGATTTTAATTTTTTTGTTGTTGTTTTTGTTAAATTTTCAGTGTGTGTGCACTCAAAAGAAAAGAAGAGAGAAAACACCCCCAAACGGGGCGTAGTCCCACCAAAATCCTTTCTCCTCCATTTCTCCATCCTGCTGGCATTTGGGCATACCTGCACACACACCTGGCATGTTTTTCAAGCCTCCAGGACTGGGGTTTGAACCATATGGCAATGTGATATTCTTTTTCCTTAACCACTAGGCTATATGTGGCTGGACGTTTCCATCTATTTTTTTCTCCTAGATGTAACTATAACATTTTTAGGAGTTACATTTAAATCTATCATCTATTTTGAGTTCATTTAAAAATACGTATGAGGGGGACCAGCAATTAGCGTAATGGCTATGTCGCTGGACTCCCACGTATTCAACCGCGGTCCGAGTCCCAGACCCGGTGACTTAAACTCACGTCGGGCGTGTGTGCGTGCCCAAGATCCCGAGAGGAGAATGGAGGAGAAGGGATTGCGGCGTGACCATCCCCTCTGGGCGGTGGTTTCTTGCTTTCTGTCTCTCTGTCTCTGTCTGTCTGGCGAGCGCACGCACCCTATAGCAAAAAACCTCTCCAAAAAAAAAATAATAATAAGTGTGAGGTATGGATCAAGTTTATGTTTTTTACACATGAATATCCAATTGTTCCAGCACCATTTGTTGGAAAAGCCTGTCCTTTCTCCTTTGGATTGCTTTTGTACATTTATTGAAAAAAAATTGCTCATAAATGTGTGAGTCTATTTTTGGACTCTGTCCCATCGATTTATTTTGTCTATCATAATACCAATAGCATCCTGTCTTTAATTACTGTATCTTTAAAATAAATCTTGAAGTCAGGGAGGGTAAATCTAGTTCCATTAGCCACATCTTGGTTGGAAGCAGAGGTTACACTCAAGAGTTTTAATCCCCAAACATTTAATACTAGTGTGATTCCAGACAAGTCAGTTAATTATATTTATTACTCATTTACTGACTTATTGTAAGAATAACATATTATAGTGCTTAGATTAATTGATTATTAATAAGACCCTGACTTAGGAAGATGACTCTGGACTGGACCCACAGGGTGGTACTGGGGATGAAAGAATATGAATGTGTTCACCAGAGACTTCTGACTATCTTTCTCAGCAAGAGACATGCTTCTTTCCCCTTATGTACTGAAGCCCTGCATCAGATAGCTCCCTTCAGCAGGTCTGGCTTCTCTGGGCTAAAACAACAGAACACCAACCAATAAGGGCCAAAGCAAAAAATAACATTGGTCAAGATCTCTGAGTTTAAAATGATGATTTTACCATATTAGTTTTTCTGGGCTGGCCCTATAACCTCATGATTAAGAGAGATGGATCTCATATGGCTGACTGGGTTTCAAATCTCAGCTCTGAAAAATATGCCAGGTGTGTGTACCTCAAAACTCCCAACAGGATGGAACCAGCGGTTAGCATACTGGCTGTCTCGCTGGACTCCCATGTAGTCCACCACGCGGTTCAAGTCCCAGACCCGGTGGCTTAAAACTCACGCCGGGTGCGGGACCCATCAGTTAGCGTAATGGCTATGTTGCTGGACTCCCACGTAGTCGACTGCGGTTCGCGTTGGACCCAGTGGCTTAGAACTCACGCCGGCGCGTGTGCGTGCCTGCCCACGCAAGATCACGAGAGGAGAATGGAGGAGAGGGGATTGCGGTGTGACCATCTCCCTCTCCCCCCCCTCCCGGGGGGTGGTGATTTATCGCTTTCTGTCTCTCTTTGTCTGTCTGTCTGCGGAGCCCATGCGCCCTATGGCAAAAACCTCTGGGGGGCGGGGCGGGGGGGGTGAAGAGAAAGAAAAAATATCCCAACAGAATGGAGGAATGGAGAGGGACTAACAGGATGGAGGAATGGAGAGGGACTACAGAATGATCATGCCCCACCCTCACAGAGCTTTCTTTCTTTCTCTCTTTCTCTCTCTAGAGAGCACATGCACCCTCCAGCAATTGTTTTTTGTTTTTGTTTGTTTTTTGTTTTGTTTTGTTTTGTTTTCTATACTGCTTTGTAAAATATTTATTTAGAGAAAGGTTTTATAAAAGAAAAAGCTCTGAGAGGAGAATGGAAGAGAAGGGCGGTGCTGTGCCCCCACCCCCACCCCCTAGGAGGGATGCTTTGTCACTTTCTTTGTCTCTTTGTCTCTCTCCAGTGAGTGGATGTACCTTGTAACAAATTAAAAGAGAAGAAAAAGAAAGAGAAAGAAAGAGAAAGAAGAAAAAGAAAGAAGAAAGGGAAAGAAGAAAAAGAGAAAGAAAGAAAGAAAGAAAAAAGAAAGAAAAGAAAAGAAAGAAAAAAGAAAGAAAGAAAAGAAAAGAAAGAAAAGAAAAGAAAAAAGAGAGAGAGAGAGAGAAAGAAAAGGAAAGAGGGCATTCTCCATATTGACCTAAAACCACAGCTACAGTAGCTTTTTGGCCTGCTTGACTCGCTTGGCATGGCTCTCTCTCCAACTCTTCTTTTTTTCAGAGTTCGCAAAACCTGTCCCTGCCAGTTTCTATGTGCCCCTAGTTACAGGTCAGCCCCACACCGGAGGGAGGAGCTACTTCCTAGGGTCTCTTCCCAGCACCGTAGAGCCACATCCCAGTGCCCAACTGTGCTGCCCTTCTGGGACCAAAGGAGGACCCTGGTCACTTCATTTTGTGCCACATGAGAGCTCTATCTGGCAGCATGGCCGGTGGACTGGAAAAATGCTTGTCTTGGACTGGATTCACTCTTCTCTGTCTTAAAATGGTGAGTACACCATTCCAGCAACTGCAAATATTTAGGGGAGAAAAAGATTTATTATCTTTCTTTCTCCGTTGTTTAAGGGTTGGAGAATGGGGAGAGAGAAATCAAAGTACTTTTAGATTATACCAAGAGTGTATATGTTTGTGTGTTAGAAATTTAATGTGATATACTATAAAAAGAAAACAAGATTGCATTATATTTTAAGAACAAAGATTTCTGAAAAATCTGTCAGCAGATACTGACCCAGTTCAATAGGCAGATTCAAAGCAAAAAAAATGAAATAGTAATTTGATCCTCCTCTAGCCTCTAAATTCTACTTGGAATTGTTTTGTGGTGGACTTGAGTGCTGGGAATGATTTGCACAGATAAATATTCATGAAGACTGAAAGATTGCTCACGTTAATAAAGGTGGAGTGATTACGTTATTACTGCTCTGATTTGTGCTTTACATTTCCCCAAGTGGTACTTTTCTTTATTGTTCTAATTTTCTGAACTTTCTTTTCTAGGTTGCTTCAGCAAAAACAGGTAAAATTTTCTGACATCCAAGTTTTCCTCCCCATCTTTGCTTTTAATTTCCATTGTTAACTCATGGCTTATCTTGAAATATAGACTCTTTTCCAGAAGAAGAAAGATTCAGCCTTTTTTGAGCACTCACACTGGGTGCTAACCACTTTATCAGGTGCTGGAGAAACCATGAGTGGTAAAACAAATAAATGGACCAATTTAAAAGGCCAGTCCTCCTGAGGCATTCTCATTGAGTACTGTCATGCACAGAGTCCTGTGGTCACGTGTTTTCTCATGCACAATTAGCCATAAGTAAACTTTTATGGGGATCATCATTTTAGTTAAATAAAATTCTAGTTACAAATTTATTAAATAATTATTTTATTTTATTTTATTTATTATTATTACTTTTAAAAAATGTGACCAGAAAATATACAAAAAAAATTTTTTTTAATTTGCCTATGGCAGCCAAAAAAAAAAAGTTACCAGGGAGAGACAGATGGAAAGAGAAAAAGTGAGAAATTGAGTTGCCAAGTCTAGGACTCAAACCACAGGCATTCATGTGGGAGTCCAATGCCCTAACCATCAAACTGTTCACTGACCTCAGTCACAAATATTGAAGAGTTTAATTTACATAATTTTTAAATTTTTCTTCTGGGGAATTAGAGGAGAAAACTAGAAATGATGCACATGACTAAATATTTAAGATTTCCTACTTTAATCAAAAAAGACTTTATACTTCTAATATTGTGCATTTGAAATATAAACAATGGTAACTAGAGCTGAAAATGGACTTTCTCTTAAGAAGAGTTGATCAGGGGCCAGCAGGTGGCATGGTGATTAAGGCGCTGGATTCCCACACGGCCAACTGCAGTCTGAGACCCAGATCTGGTAGCTTGAAAATCATGCTGAGCACTTGTGCGTGCATGCCCAAAATCCCAGAAGGAGAAGAGAGGAGGAAGAATTGCAGTGTGGCCATCTTCCCTGGGATGTGATTTTTCACTTTTCCTCTCACTGTCTCTCTCTGGTAAGCACATGTACTCTATGGCAAAAACTTTAAGAAAAAAAAATTTGATCACTATTTCTCTTGAATAAATGACTGCAGGTAAAACTAATTTCTCTAGCGCTCATAAATTCTTGAGATATAAATTTCCAGAATGGACATTTATGTTTAATGGGGTTTTGATCATCTATAGGAGCCATGTAATAACGATATCACCAATAAACTCTCATAGTGATTTGACATAAATTAGGACAATATTTATTATTTCATCTACACCATAGAAAAGGAAGTGCAATGAAGACAATTTTAAAATTAGATATAGAGGGACCAGCAGTTAGCGTAATAGCCATGTCGCTGGACTCCCACGTAGTTGACTGCGGTTCTAGTCCCGGACCCAGTGGCTTAAACTCATGCCAGGCGTGTGTGTGTGCATGCCCAAGGTCCCAAGAGGAGAAGGGAGGAGAAGGGATTATAAATAAATAAATAAATAAATAAATAAATAAATAAATAATATATAAAATTAGATATAGATATGTGACCTAGCATAAAATGTCATAAAATCCATGCATATATATTAATAGTAGGCTCTTAAAAAGTATTATTCCCTAATTTATTCTTATCTACTTATTCTTCAGAGACCTTCAGGATTGACTGGGAAGCTATGGCAAGGACTGCTGGGCCATGTGCAAAGTGTTTTTTAAATTTTAAAATTTATTTATTTATTTATTTATTTATTTATTTTTGGAGAGGTTTTTGCTGTAGGGCGCGTGCACTCACCAGACAGAGAGAGACAGAGAGACAAAGTGGTTTTTTTAGAACGTGGTGTTTAGGTGGACAGAATCTAGCTCTTCTGTCTTTCACAAGGTCCCAGCACACCCAGGACACACCGGGTCCTTATTACAAGCCTCTCTTTATTCCCCACAGCATCCACGCTATTCAAGGGAAACGATAGACCAGGCTGAGATACTGATAATGCTGTTGATTGAGTCGTGCTGGCTTTTCAATAGATGGGATGTGTTTTATTTATACTGTGTATTAGGTTTCACTTGGGGGTGTGTGTTTTGATTCTCCCTAGGCCTTGGCATTGGCTGTTTATCTGTGTCTAGCCACAAGAGCCTCATGGGCTCATTTGATCTCTTTGAGTTGGGAGAATGCACAGTTACTGAGAATCAAAGGGTTTCATTTTTGACTGATTAGAGTGGTTGGTTGCACATCTAAGAACTACCATTTTCTCTTAGTTTCTTAGTCCAGTAAGTGGGCTAAACATAGACATAAGGAAGAGTAAGAAATAACTACAACTGGGACCAGCAGTTAGCGTAATGGCTATGTCGTTGGACTCCCATGTAGTCGACCGTGGACCCGGAGGCTTAAAACTCATGCCGGGCGCGTGTGCGTACGTGCCCAAGATCCTGAGAGGAGAATGGAGGAGAAGGGATTGCGGCGTGGCCATCCCCCCCAGGGGATGATTTCTCGCTTTCTGTCTCTCTGTTTCTGTCTCTGTCAGGCGAGCGCATGTGCCCTATAGCAAAAACCTCTCAAAAAAAAAAAAAAAAAGAAATAACTACAACTCAGTGGAGCTTACACTTGTCACTCAAGCATCTCATCTCTTGAAGGGAAACACAGAGTGGAGGTATTGATCCTTTTTCTTTGCTGGTGCTGGCCCAGCTTGCCCTGGAACCAACTGTAAAACAGGCAGTCTGTCTCCCCAGCCTATGCTAGCCCCAGACTACTGCTCAGAATCTCAGTCACTGGCACCCCTCCATAGCATCACTGGACAATCTGGCTTTTCTAAACCTATTAAACCTTGTTTGTTTTGGTATGTACGTGCATACACTTTCAAAATGTCCAGACATAATATTTGACTTCATCTTTATAGCGGTCCTAATGCGTGGATACTTTACATCCCAAAGAAATCCTAAGCTGTAGGTGTTATTAATAGTCTGCACTAGGGCCAGTAGGTAGTATGGTGGTTAAGGTGCTAGACACTCCCATATAACCAACCATGGTTTGAGTCCCAGACCTGGTGGCTTGCTTTCTCACTTTTCCTCTCTCTGTGTGTCTTTCTCTGGTCAAATTAAAATAAATGAATAAATAAATAAAATTAAATAAATAATACTTTTAAAAAAATAGTCTGCACTGGGACTAGCAGATGGCATAATGATTATGTCCTTGGATTTCCACATAGTTGACCAAGATTCAAGTTCAGGACCTGGTAACTCAAACCTCATGCCAGGCACATGTACATGCGTGCTCAAGATCCCAAGAGGAAAATGGAGATGGGATTGAGGAGTGGCCATCCCCCTGGGGGGTGATTTCTCACTTTCTATCTCTCTGTCTCTCTGGCGAGTGCATGCACCCTATAGCTAAAATCTCTTTTAAAAATTTGCATTTAATAGTCTACATATTCATAGACTGTTTTTTTTAAAGAATTATTTAATTTAACTTTATTTTAAAATTTTGACCAGAGAGGGACGGAGAGAACACATGTACGTGCGAGAGAGAGAAAGTGAGAAAGCAAGCTGCCAGGTCTGGGACTTGAACTGTAACTGGCCATTTGGGAGTCTAGCCCCTTTAACCACCACATCACCTGCTGGCCCCTTAATAGTCTGTTATTTATTTTTTTAAAGAATTATTTTATTTAACTTTATTTATTATTATCATTATTATTTTCCAGTTTGATCAGAGAGACACAGTGGGAGAGAGAGGAAGTGAGAAAGCAAGCCACCAGGTCCGAGACTTGAACCGTGGTCGGCCATGTGGGAGTCTAGCGCCTTTAACCACCATGCCACTTGCCGGCCCCAATAGTCTGTTATTAATTTCTGCATTTTGTCAGGGAGAAAACTGAGACTAAAAGAGGCTAAATGACTCACACATGTTCATAAACAAAAGTACAATGAATAGCTGAGCCAGGGCTTAAACCCAGGGTTCCCAAGTCCGATCCTTTGCTGCCACACAATCCTGAGCTTAATTCTCCTACTATTGGCTTCCTGTATTGTTCCTTCGAGGCAAATATTCCCTTCCTAGCTCAATTCAATGGAGAAGTTTCATGAAGTCCCAAGGCTCACTGTAGGCCCGTGGGGAGACAGTGTCATGCTAGCCTTGTAAATACCTTTCAAACCACTCCATGAATTCACTCTCGGGTCTCCTATGTCGATGGCTAGTTTGGTTGTCATTTTTCCAGTAAGTTGGTCCATTCCAATGGGCAGGACTGGCTACCATAAGAGATAAGATAAATTGCAAGGACAGAGGAAACAGAAGGAGTTGAGAGACACCAGAAAATGAGAGGGACGAAGGCATACAGTCTATGACAAATACCTGGGGGAGCAGAAGAGGAACACTGGATACAAAAGGGAACCTCTGCTGGGCCTTTCTGCCCTCAGAGGCGAGGAGGAACCCAGGCCTTCCCTGCAGAATCAGCTTTCACTGACGAACGGCTAAGAGAAGGAGGCCTGTGACTCCCCACCCCCAGCATATACAACCATCATCATTTTCTTTCGAAGGCAAAAATGACAAGCCTGGGTGATGTTCAAGGAATGTCTGGCCAGTACACAGTGGAGACTTTGTTCATTTTTCCAGCATAGTTATATCTGAGATGCTGCCAAAGCCTACTCTCTAGGCCATTAGTGTGGAAAGGTCACCTGTATCGTGCACAGAGGGATTTGGCTGGGCAGGGAGAGGGTCAGGAGTGATGCTGGCAAACTGGACCTTTGGATTTACTCTTTCTCCCTGTTTGACCTATAGTTTTGTTTGTTTGTTTCCTTTATTGTTGAATTTGGTACACAATGATTTTACCCAACAAATGGAGTTCATTAAACATAAAAGGCCAAGTGCCAGTATTAAATTTAAACCCCAGCTATTTTCTTTTTTTTTTTAAGAATTATTTAATTCCGTTTGTTATTATTATTTTTTAATTTGACCAGAGAGAGAGAGAGAGATAGAAAGGGAAAAAGAGAAAGCAAGCCACCAGGTCTGGGACTTGAACCACAGTTGATCATGTGAGAATCCAGCACCTTAACCACCATGCCACCTGCCAGCTCCCTAGCTATTTTCTCTTGACTTTTCCTTCCACTTGGGGCTCCTACACCTAGGGCCTTTTTTGTGTCTGTGAATTTTTTTTTTTTTTAGAGAGATTTTTGATGAAGGGTGTATGCACTCGCTAGAGAGACAGTAAGAGACAGAGAAAGAAAGCGAGAAATCATCCCCCATGGGGGTGGCCATGCTGCAATCCCTTCTCCTGTAATCTTGGACATGCACGCATATGCACCTGGCATGAGTTTCAAATCTCCAGGTCCAGGACTTGAAGCACAGACAACCATATGGGAGTCCAGTGCCTTAACCACTATGTCACCTGCTGGCTTCTTGTGTCTGAGGATTTTTTTTTAAGGTTGTTTATTTCCTCCTTGAAAGAAAGACAGACACTTTCTAAAGCATTTTCAAGTCATAATCCACCCTCAGCCTCAGTTGGCCCAAATCACACATGTCCAATATATACAGGAAGGTCCTGGGACTCAAACCTAGGACCTTTCCCACACAAATCCAGTTGTCTTACCACTGCACCACCACCTAGCCCTGTGTCTGTAGGTTTCTGTTCAGTAGTAAGTTTAATTACCATGTTGTATTCCCTGCTTCAAACCACAGTGTAGGAATGCCTTGGGTGAGAATTTATATCCCTTAGCAAACTATGGAGCCAGGCCCATGTGAGGAGGGAACCACAGCATCTTCTAATGCTGAGGCAGATGTTTTGATAGAGAAAGGGAGAACAAGTTTCTTTTTATCTCAATATTTATATATTGAAGAATCTGAAAGTTGTTCCTCTCTGATAATAAAAAGCGCTATGGAGTAATGATAATGAACAACTCAATTCTCCCTCCTTCCCACAAATGCCACTTGAGAAATGTGCAAAACTCGTGAGACAACAGACAATGGATGGAGGCAGGTGGCACAGGTGTGGGACAGGGACGGGAGACCAATGGCAAAGCAGTCTGGGAAATTCACAGAATGCCAAATCAGGGTATAAGTCTCTGGAATAAAGCCCTTCTACAGAAGTTCTTTCCCATAATCACTACCCCCCCCCCTTTTTTAAATTGCTAAAGAGTACATGCACCTGGCTAGGGCAGAGGAAGAGAGAAAGCAACCCTCAGCGTGCATGGTCACACTGCAATCCTTTCTTCTCCGTTTCCCATCCTCTCAGACTTCGGAACACGCATGCACACGTGCCCAACATGTTCCTCAAGCCTCCAGGACCAGAACTTGAAACCACAGGAGATCTGGCTTTCCACAGCAGCGCCTCACTTCCCATTCCTGTTTGATCCTTACAAAAGCATGGAAAGTGCAAATTGCCCCTCAGGCAACTGGAGGAATGTATTTGAACTCCCCCTTCCCTGAATAAGAAGTGAGCTTTATGGCTCTTTTCTGGAGAGTAGTTTTTGTCTTTCTCTTTCTCTTTTTCCTTATATCTGAAGCTCATGGCATGGGAATGATTTAGTTTGACGAGCAAAATGATGACAGAAGTGGTCCTATTGGTATCCTGGCTAATGTACAACCTCAAAATCTCTTTCAGCTCCCGAAATACCCACCATCGATCAGGCGTATTCAAAAATCAGCAACAGCATCACTGTAGAATGGGCTACAGTGCCAGGGGCCACCAGTTACCTCCTCACAGCCAAAGACGGGGACACAGTCATTGAAACCATGGTGGCCAATTCCCCAGGCACTGTGACAGGCCTGAAGGCTGCGACCTTATACCAGATCACCATCAGATCCATTGGTGCTGCAGGAAAAAGCCAGGCCTCGCCTCCAAAGCAGGCAAAGACAGGTAACTAATGTTTGCCTTCCACCAGACATTGGCTTTTGACCTGCTTCGGTTACATCGCTGCTGCAAATGCATAATGTGATTTGTGGTCACGTGAGAGCCCACCATTTGGGGCCCAGAAATGAAAGCCACCAAATGATGTTTTCTTGGGGACTCAGGTATCTGCCAGGGAGGAAGCATTTAAATGCCAGATGCTTTGCTTTAGAGAATAAAGCCTATTTCCAGGCAGTATGCCTGCTTTTTTAAATCTCTGGGGGGGAAAAAATTATTTCTGGGTTTTTTTTGGAGAGGTTTTTGCTCTAGGGCGCGTGCGCTCACTAGAAAGAGAGGGACAGAGAGACAGAAAGCGAGAAATCATCCCCCAGGGCGCAATGGCCATGCCACAACCCCTTCTCCTCCATTCTCCTCAAGAGATCTTGGGCACGCACGCACAAGTGCCCGGCGTGAGTTTAAGCCACCATGTCCGGGACTTGAACCATGGTTGACTACATGGGAGGGAGTCCAGCAACATAGCCATTGCGCTGGTCCCAAAGACTTCTGTTTTTAACCCTGCCACACAAGAAACACATAGAAGAGATTTTGCAGCTCTTTGATCACATGGCATATATGTTAACAGGAAAAAAAACATTTGGAGTGTGACATCAGCATTGCTTGCATTGATTGGGTAAAGTTGTAGCTAGTTGGGATTTCTAAAAAGTAATGTGCAGGGCCAGCCCTGTTGCCTAGTAAAGGGAGTCGGATCCCACATGGCACCATGATTTGAATCCTGGCCCCAGAGACCTGAAAAGCACACCAGGCATGTGTGTGGGTGCCCTTAATCCTGACAGGGTGGAGAAATGGAGAAGAAATTGTGGTGTGATCATGTTCCATTGGAAGGTGCTTTTTTCTTCTCTCTTCCTCTCTCTCTCTCTGGGTGCTTTTTCCTTCTCTCTTCCTCTCTCTTTCTCTCTGGTGAGCACATGTGGCCTCTGGTAATTAAAAAAAAAGTTATCTGCACATTAAAATAATATAAACCAGGCCAACAGATGCTGTGGAGGTTAAGGTAGCTGGATCCCACATGGCCTACCAAGTGGTTCGAGTCCCAAACCTGGCAGCTTGAAAATCACATAGTACATGTATGTGTGCCCCAAATCCCAATAGGAAAATAGAGAAGGGATTGCGGCATGACCATCCCCCTGGCGTGGTGACTTCTCACTTTCTCTGTCTCTCTCTGGTGAGCACATGTGTCTTATAACAAAACTAAACTAAACTAAAATGACCATTGCCCCTGGCGGGTGATTTCTCTTTCTCTGTCTCTCTCTGGTGCTCACGTGTCTTATAGCGAAACTAAACTAAAATTAGATAGACCATGAGGTGGTGTGGAGGTCGGGGTGGCTGAATCCCATATAACCTACTGTGCAGTTCAAGTCCTGGTCTCAGCAGCTTGAGGGACATGCCAAGTGCGTGTGTCCACAATCCGGAGAGGAGGAGGAAGGAGAAGGGACTACAACATGGTCATCGCCGCCAGGGAATAATTTCTCACTTTCCCTCTTCCTCCAACCCCCTCTCTGTCTCTCTCTGGCGAGTACACACACCCTATAGCAAACTTAAAAAGTATAAACCATCGTTTCTCTCATGTATTTATATTAGGATTTTAGAGCTATTTTATCTAATTTTTGACCAACTTCTAGTAGAAAGTCATATGTCATATTTACATATTCCCTATACGCTGTTTCTTTATGTAGTCATTTATAATTAATATATACTTTAAAATAATTATTTATTTTATTTTACTTATTGTTATTAATATTTTTAAATTTGACCAGAAAGAGCTAGAAGGAGGAAGAGGAAGAGGGAAAGTGAGAAAGTAAGCTGCCAGGTCTGGGACTCGAACTACTGTCAGCCATGTGAGAGTCCAGCACCTTAACCACCACGCCACCTGCCGGTCCTGATTAATATGTACTTAAATAGCAATTATTTAATGAAACTCACCATGACTCCTTTTACAAAATAAATATTTATTTATTTAAATTTGCGATAGGGCAGGTATGTTTGCCTGAGAGAGACAGAGAAAGAGAGCGACAGAAAATGAGAAAGCACCTCTGGGGGTGTTGGCCGCACTGTAGTCCCTTCTCCATCTTCCTCTTGGGATTTTGGGCTTGCACACACATGTGCCTGGCATGTTTTCCAAGCCACGGGGTCCAGGGCTAGAACCAAATAGTTGGCTTGTGGTATCCAGCCATCACAAGCTAGCCCACAAGGAATTGTTTATAATCTAGATAATCAACCTCAATTTATTTATGCCTAAATTAAAATTATCCTCTTTTGGACTTCTGTAACCCAAACGTACACATTTTTGTCTTTTTAGTGTTGTCCGCACCGATTCTGGAAGTAAGCTCTCCAAGTCCAGACTCCATTCTTGTGCAGTGGGAAGCCGTATACATGGCAATTGGATTTTCTGTGTCCATTATGCGAGCCAATGGCTTGGGTAGGATATGGAAAGAGAATACTACAAACACCTCCTTGACATTCACTAGTTTAGATGCCGGGACTCTCTATACCATAAAGGCCTACGCGTGGAATGCCAATGGAATCCCTGGGGATGACTCCACCTGCAATCAGAGAACAAGTAAGGACCTCTCGGCTCAGCCTCAGACGATCCTGGCTGTGATTAATGAGGGTGGCTGTGCATTGCAGCCATCAAGAGCAATGTTAAGTGATAAGCACAGAGCAGCTGGCAGCAGCTATTTAAATTCATTAGGAAGTTATTTATAGTGCTTGACTATTCCTCCTCGGTGGTTTAAATGCTTACTGCGTGTATGAAGACACGCTGCTCAGAACACACGGAGCACACCTAGCCCTTTGACTACCAACTCAATCTCGGCATCCCCATTCCTGTCAGGTTTACCAATCACCCCACGTCCCTTCCTGCTTTCTGGCCAATAGTATAAACAAAAAGAATTGGACCAAACAGGAAGTTATTTACTCAGCAGACATCCAGAGAGTGTGTGCTGACTTTGAGTTGGCATTGCTCTAGAGAGATAGCAGCAAACAAAACTAAGATCCTGTTTTCACATGCTCTGTACCATGAGGGAATCAGTGTTTCTGAGCTGTTTTCCGAAGGCCTGAGGCCAACATGGGGCCTCCCCTCACCTCTCCTCCAGGTGTAGGCCGAGTTGCTGGGGCATGTGTGTGCTCTCTCACCGCCGCACCCCAGGGGCATCCTAACTAGGGGATCCTACAGCAGAATAACTGGAATAACGTCTATACTGATCTGCTGGGGTGAGCCAAAAAAAATGAGAGGGAGCAAGGAAAAGGGAGGGGGCGGGAGAGAAAAAGAAAGGGAGAGAGGCTTTTTTCTTCTCTTTAAGGCAGAGTAAGCCATCTGCTGGCAATGCGATCTACACAGATGTCAGACTCTCATCAACCAAATTAACTGTTTCATCCCTTGGGGAGGACCAAAGAAAGGGTAGAAAGAAATGAGAAATGTTCTTTCCAACTTTCCCCAAGTTTGGAGCGGAATGGAATCCTATTGTCTATTGGCCAAGACAGAAATGCAGGGAGAAGAGAAGGGTTTGCCTTTTACGATACTCTTCGAGGGAGAAATCATAGCATGTAGCCCTCAGGGGATTCATGATGAGCGTGGTGGGTCAGGATGTTTGTGACACACACGTCTCCCTGGGTCTTTTCTTAGGCTGGCTTTCTTTCTTTCCTTCCTTTGTTTCCTTCCTTCTCCCTTCTCTCTCCCCTTTCTACAAAAATATATTGAGGTCATGCTATGTGCTGGGCAGAGTTTAGCTGATGGGAATATGAACCCTAATAATGCATGTTCTCTACCCTCAAAGAACTGATCGTGTCCAAGGAGAGATCAATGCATTGATCAAGTTACAGTTCCATGTCACAAGTGCCTTGACTGAAGGGTGCACAGGCACAGTACGGCCCAGAAAGGAGCATCTACCTCCAGCTGTGGAACCAAGAGAGCCATCTCCTAGGGAGGACTGATCTCTTTTTTCTTTTCTTTCTTTCTTTCCTTCTTTCTTTCCTTCTTTCTTCCTTTCTTTCTTTCTTTCTTTCTTTCTTTCTTTCTTTCTTTCTTTCTTTCTTTTTCTTTCTTTCTTTCTTTCTTTCTTTCTTTCTTTCTTTCTTTCTTTCTTTCTTTCTTTCTTTTTTTCTCTCTCTCTTTCTCTCTCTCCTTTCTTTCTCTTTCTCTCTTTCTTTTCTTCTCTTTCTTTCTTTCTTTCTTTCTTTCTTTCTTTCTTTCTTTCTTTCTTTCTTTCTCTCTCTCTCTCTATAGTTGAGATAATGGATATACTGAAAATTATCTGGACTTATTTACTACATACTGTATTCTTTTTTTTTTAAAGAGAGAGAGAAAGAAATATTTTGCTATAGGAGGTGTGTGCTCACCAGAGTGACAGAAAGTGAGAAATCGCCCCCTGGAGAGATGGTTACACCTCGATCTCTTCCCCTCCATTCTCGTATTGGGAGTTTGGGCACACAGGCACACACACCTGGCGTGAGTTTTAAGCTACCAGTTCTAGGACTTAAACCGTGGTCGACTACGTGGGAGTTCAGCAATATAACCGTCACGCCATCTGGTCCCTCCTTTTTTAAAAAATAATTATTTCTTTATTTAATTTTGTGATTATTATTTATTTCTTAATTTGACCAGAATGAGACAGAGAGAGAGAGACAGGGAAAATTAGAAAACAAGTCACAGGTCGTGGATTCAAACTGTAGTTGGTCACGTGGGGAGTCCATCACACTCAACCACACCACCTGCTGGCCCCGAGGACTGATTTCTTAAACCCTTCTCCTTCATTAGTTTCCCCATGTTTTAAAAAGTTTTAAAGTTTTGGGGGCCAGCAGATGGTGTACTGTTATGTCTCTGGACTCCCACTTGGCTAACCACAGTTCGAGTCCTGGATCCGGTGGCTTCAAAATGCCAGGTGTGTTTGTGTGGGTGTGCTCAAAATCCCGAGAGGAGAATGGAGAAGCGATTGCAGCATATCCATCCTGGGGGGGGGGGGATTTCTCACTTTCCCTCTCACTGTCTTTGTCTCTCTCTCTGGTGAGTGCATATGCCCTAAGGCAAAGGCCTCTTTAAAAAAAAAGTTCGAGTTTCGATTTGGCCTCTGTACTAGCTTGCTGGGACTGCTGTATTTAAGTCCCCTACACTGGAAGGCTTCAGCCACAGCATTTCATTATTTTGTGGTTGTGGAGGATATTACGTGTCAAATGAAGGGATTGGCAAGGTTGGTTCCTTCTGATGGCTGTAAGGGTCTGTTCTAGGCCTTTCTTCTTCACTTACAGATGCCACCTTCATGTTCACAAGGCACATGGATATGCCCTATATGTGTATATCTGCATCCTTTCTTCTTGTAAGGGCATCAGTCACATTGGATTAGGGTCCACCCGAATCACACTCCTCTTAATTATGCCAGTTACGACCTTATTTCCAAATAAGGTCACATTTTTGAGTACTAAGCATTAGAACCTCAGCATATTAATTTGGGGGAGGGGCTCAATTCAACCCATAACATACTCCCACTTCTCTACCTATTTTTCCTACTTTCCCCATTCTCCATGTGGGAAAATCAGGTTGTCCTAAAACACCACAGGCTACTCCTGCCAGTCTTGGGCCCAGCAGTACCCCAAAGCAGGCTCTACCTCTGCAGGCAAGCCAGCCACACAGAGGGGAGGGGCAACATCCAGACGGCCTGTGGGAGGGACCAGCAGATGCTTGCCTTGTACAGAATGCATCACATCCGTGTTTTGGAGCAGGCCTTCCTTGTTTACCCCAGACATGCCTAGAGGAACCTAGTCTCTGTTCATAGCCTGTCCAAGCGGTTTTCTTTTCTTTTCTTTTTTTTTTTTTTGGAGAGGTTTTTGCTATAGGGCACATGCGCTTGCCAGGCAGAGAGACAGAGAGACAGAAAGCAAGAAATCACCCCCCAGTAGGGATGGCTATACCGCGATCCTTTTTCCTCTATTCTCTCAGGATCTTGGGCATGCACGCACACGTGCCCGGTGTGAGTTTAAGCCACTGGGTCCAGGACTCGAACTGCGGTCAACTACATGGGAGTCCAGTGACATGGCCATTACGCTAACTGCTGGTCCCCCAAGCAGTAGTTTTCTAAGGCCTGCAGAGTGGTCTTTACTATAGCACAGATTCCAAAGGAGAACTGAGGCCAATTTCTCTCCTCCCCATCCCACAATGACACCTCTGCAAATTTTTAATGGGATATCCCTGAGAAAAGGAGGCATATTTATAAGAAGATAGGGGAAGGGGCAGTAGGTGTCATGGAGGTTGAGATGCTAGACTCTCACATGGCCGACTATGGTTTGAGTCCCAAACCCAGTGGCTTGCTTTTTCACTTTCTTTCTCTTTCTTTCACTTTCTTTCTCTCTGTCTGTCTGCCTTTCTCTGGTGAGCATACGTGCCCTATAATGGATTAAAAATATAATAATAATCAATCAAATTAAATGGATAATTCTCTAAAAAAAAGAAGATAAGGGCAAGTGTTATGGAGACACTAGAAAGGCTACTTAAATGTGTAATCATCACACTTAATATTTTCCTTCCTTCCCTTAGGTTTAAAATGGAAAGGCTGCTCCTCTAGAAACAACTATAGAATGACCTAAAAGTTATTGCAATAACAGTTTTAACAGGTGCCTACAGTAAAGAAGGGATATGTTTAGCTTCATCAATCACTAATAGAGAAACTATTCGACCTATCATTTAATAATAATATGCCTATGAGGTCCTTTTCGTCCTTCACATTTAAAATTTTATTTCCTTCTATTAACTACTTGTCAAACAGGGTACTCATTCACTCATTCAAAATACACATTTTTTAGTATCGATGTGTTAGGCACTGATCTTATTAGATCCATTTTATGGACAAGAATGAAATTAAATAACAAGAAGATTAAACATTGGGTCATCAGAAAAGTCATGATGTATTTTTTTATGCAAAAGTGTGTCATGGCTTTTCCTATGCCCCAATAATATGGCCACAGTCACACAGCTAATCATGAGTGTGTGGTTAATGGCAGATGTGTTTCCATTCACAGGTATCCGGAATCCCAATTCCATGCCTTGAACATAATTATCAACTACGGGGGCACCTTATCCTTTGAGTTCTTCAATGCCATTAGACCAAATCCTACTTAGGTTCTTGAAGCTACTACAAAATATTAATTGTTTTTTTCAAAAATCTAGGTCCTCGTGCCCCTGCCAACATTCGAGTCTCTTTTGATAGTGGGACTCTGAAAGCCTCTGTTTCTTGGGCACCAACAGAAGGAGCTTTCAACTATACTGTGATGGCCTTGAGTGACTCTTCGGAGTTGAGCTGCAGTACAACTTTTATTTCCTGCACCATCTCTTCCCTCCAGTGTGGAACTGAGTACTTGATTTCAGTTTCAGCAAGGAACGATGCTGGATCTAGCAGATCATCTTCAGCAGTGACCCTGAAAACTGGTATGTAAACCAGAGTGAGATGGCAAGCCACAGTGAAGCCATAAGGCAATAGATAATCCCTAACGATGTTCCAGAACACTCTGGAAGAAGTAAAAATAAAAGACTGGTCTAGGGGCCAGCAGGTGGCATAGTGGTTATGAGCTCTAGACTCCCACATGGAACTGACCACGGTTCGAGTCCCAAACCTGGAAGCTTACTTTCTCACTTTCCTTCTCTCTTTCTCTCTAGCTCTGTCCCTCTCTGGTCAAATTAAGATAAGTAAATAAAGAAAGTTAAATTGAAAAAAAAAAATTCTGAAAAACAACAACAACAGACTAGTCTAAAGGAAAACATTGAGTTAGATAGTCTGATGATCCCCCCCGTTGATTCTAATGTGCAGTCAGGGTTGAGCGCCACCAAAATTGTCCTGTGCTGATCCTGGATAAATGAGACATTGGCTTAATATAGAAAAATGCAATACTAACAAGGCAACCCATGCCTACTTCTGTCATTGTCTACCATGTATTGTGTGAGGTGAATTTTAGGACACTTGAGAAAGTCTCCTTAACTTGCACTGACTTGTACATGCTATTGGATCTGTTCCTTGTTCATAGCATAGAGCAGCTGAACTCACTGCTCTAGGTGCTTCCTGGAGGACGTAATGGGCATGAGCATGGACGGCTGCAGTAAGGAGACCTTTCCATGCACCCAGGTCCCCAGAAAGACCATCCCATCCTAGCTATGTGAGCTTGGGCAATTCATTTAACCTCTTTGAGCCTCAGTTTCCTCAGTTGTAAAAATGATGATTATTGTTAGAGGACAGAGGAAAATGCTAATAAAAAACGCAGTGGATGATGGTTATATATTTATCTCTCTCCACAGTCTTGAAATATTCACTATTCCACTCAGGTCAGACTGGTTTTAATGCCAAATGAACATTTTGTTTGTTTTTGTAGAGGTTTTTGCCTTAGGGCATGTGTGCTTGTCAGAGAGACAGAGAGGACCAGTGAGTGGGAAAGTGAGAAATCACCCCCCAGGGAGGACGACCACACTGCAATCCCTTCTTCTTCATTCTCCTTCCAGGATCTTGGGCATGCACACACGCACACACACAGGGCATGAGTTTCAAGCCACCAGGTCCAGAACTAGAACCACAGTCAGCCATGTGGGAGTCTGGTGACGTAACTGCTATGCCATCACTGGTCCCATTTGTCTTTTTTTAAAATTTGCCAGAGGTCATGTGTGCTTGCTGGAAAGAGAGAAAGGTGAGAAAACAACCCCAATGGGGAATGCTCATGGAACAATCTCTTCTCTTCCATTTCTCTATCTTTTTGAGCTTTTGGGCATGCACACACACCCATGCCTGGACTGTCTCTCAGTCCACCAGGTCCCAGACTTAAATCATGCAGTCAGCCATGTGGGATCGAGCCTCTAACCACCACAACCCTAGCTGGCCCAAACAAATATCTTTCAACAAATACTCTAACAATGAAAAATCCCTATATTTTAAAATGATTATCAAACTCTTATGGCTCATTATTTCAAGCAACACTTCATATAACAAGATAATTTGGATAGGTCATTGGAGTTTGTTGTAGTGGTTTGTGCCTGATAACATAGTCTTGGTTTTATATTAAAAACAAAACAAAACAAAACAAAAACAAAAACAATTAGTACTTCTGGTTTTGCAGTGTGTTGTACCAAATTGATCTGTTACGAAGAGTTGCTAATTTGGGTTATCTTGAATCTTGAATAACTGCAAAGATACAAAGAAAATCTCCTGCCGTAGTCTCACAGGTACTTACTGATTGTTTCCTAGTTGCTTGTGCACCTGGAAGAGTGACAATCCAAGAAGACCCCCCTGGCCACCTATCTGTGACTTGGTCCAATGTAGAGTTGGGGGATTACTATGTGGCCTTCGTGAAGAGCGATGATGGCTTGGAAGTACACTGTAACACATCCCTCACCCAGTGCAATTTCCTATCTGAGTGTGGCTTCACCTACTTTATTAGTGTTTTTGCCTATAACAAAGCTGGGCAGAGTCCTCTGGGAGATGTATTCAATTATACCACAGGTAAGTCACTTTTCATACTTATAAAGGGAATGCTGAGATTGTTCAACTCAGCCGTAGTTGTTCTTACTGTGGTGCCACCTAGGAGTCATTCTAGGGCCACGGATGGAAAGTGGATCTCTTGTTTCACATTCTTTCTAGAGTAGGAACTTCTGGCTTGGTGGGCTCAACCTTAACAAGAATACAAGGTTTAGGAGTGGATAGGGGAAAGGATGTATCTGTTCAACTCTCATCCGAGAAATTGAACCCTCCTCAAGTTCTACTCAGCGCTCAGGCCTGCGCTAGATGGTGAAGGCAATGCAGTCCCTCATTTCAGTTCACTCTTTCTCTGAGATCAGGAAAAGGGAGACGCCACCTCCAAGATGTCACATGGTGTGGAGAGCTTTGGAATAGGAAACCTGGATTTAAGATCTAATTTCACCACTGAGTCATTCGTACACAGGGGATAATGACGTCCACATTGCTAGTCCCTTAGGCTTCTCCACTGTAAAAGAGGGCATGTAACAATCAAAGGCCTTCGTATATGATAAAGCACAAGGCAAATATTTTGATGACATTGTCATTACTGTGACTATTATTTTCCTCTTCTCGGCCTGGATCTTGTACAGGGCAGAGATTATGTTTTATTTCTTTTCATTCTCAGTGCTTGTCATAGTGTGACCAACATATGGAAGATAGTCCGTTTTTGAAGAATGGATGGACTGAGTGACTTAAAATTCTTCATATGTATTTACAAATAAAAATCCTCTCATATAATTATATAGAAATACCAGCTGGATTATAATTTTACCAGGATGAGGAATGTAAATAATTGGTGCTTTGGGAATTCGGAGTAAGAGGCTATAAGGTCTCAAGAACACGAGAGGTCCTTCCAGAGGGTGTGGCCTTCAAGTACCTCTTTAAGGATGGGTAGAACAGATGTACAAGAGACGAGAGAAACTCCAAGCTGAGTTCGACATCTGTCAGTGGGATTCTTTAGGCTTTCACTAAAGTATGAAGAAATATGCTTTCCCGCCTCCTGCTTGCTGGGGTCTAGTGTCAGGAAAGACTGACAGGATCTGGGAGGTTGGTCTCCGTATGATTTTGCCACGCAGAAGAGAGAAAAGGCTTTCTAGCAGGAGAGTCAGCAGTCCTAAAAGCCTAGAGAAATGAGAACATATGTGGGGTGGGGACTTGGAGTCTGGTGTGGCAGCGGGTGGGGGGAGGAGCAGCTGAACATACAGCTTATGGTGACCCGGAATGTCGTGCAGGATTTATTCACTGTGCAGGGAGGGCTGGGTGAGATTGGATCTGGACAGCGCTGTAGGAGGTCTGCAGCAGCTTAGGAGGGCAGTGCAGAGGCTGTGGCCGGGGGCGGTCAGGACTCGATGTCCTTATGGGGGTGTTGCTCGCATACTGCCCTCTGTCCGCTCTGCTCCTGCTTTCAGCTCCCTGTTGTCCTAGTGACATTAACCCCGTGTTGGTGTCCAGTGACAGAGTGGAGATTGTCTGGTCTCCTGTCCGTGGGGCCGAGCTCTATGAAACCAAAGCAGTAGACGGGTACAACGTGGTGGAGTGCAACGACACGGCCCCCGCTTGCACACTCTCCGCTCTCGAGTGTGGCACCAAGTACAACATCACGGTGTACTCGTTCAGTGTGGTCCGTGGCAGCAACACGTCCTGTACTTCGCGGTTCGTAACCACAGGTACCGTACGGTCATGATTTCGTTCGGTCCAGCTCTGCGCCCCGGGGTGGGCACTCAGCAAGACCTTTACAAGATTAAATCCCTGCCAGCCCCCTGGCCTAGTGGTCAAGGGAGCCGGATCCCATTTGGCCTCCTGTGCTGTTCAAATCCCAGCTCGGTAACTTGAAAAACATTCTGGGCAAGTGTGTGTGTGTGTCTGAAATTCCAACAGGATGAAAAACAAGAAGGGATTGCAGTGTGAACGTACCCTGTTGGAGGGTGATTTTTCCATCTCTCTCTCTCTTTCTCACACACGCTCTCACAAAAAAAAAAAAAAAAAAAAAAAAAGTTTAATCCCATGGACAGCTCTTGGTGGGGACCACTAAGGCCCTTGTTGTACTAGAGAGGCAAAGAAAGGCCCAAAAGAGGAAGGTAGAGAAAAAAAGAAAAGAAAAGAAAAGGAAGACGGGGGCCAGCAGTTAGCGTAATGGCTATGTCGCTGGACTCCCACGTAGTCGACCATGGTTCAAGTCCCGGACCCGGTGGCTTAAACTCACGCCGGGCACGTGTACGTGCGTGCCCAAGATTCTGAGAGGAGAATGGAGGAGGAGAGATTGCGGCGTGGCCATCCCCTCTGGGGGGTGATTTCTCACTTGCTATCTCTCTGTCTCTCTCTCTCTGTCCGGCGAGCGCATGCCCCCTATAGCAAAAACCTCTCAAAAAAAAAAAAAATAAAAATAAAAGAAAAGGAAGACAATGGGGAGATTGGAAGGATTTGCAAGGAATTACCTCAACCGTTCAGTTCCTCTGCCTTTGAGGGGCCTGCCCGGAATCACACTACCAAGGTGTGCAAATGCTGGTCTTACGCTACTGATGCTTTGAGAGTTCAAAATGCTCTTTAACATTTTCCAGTTAGTCCAACACTCTAGGAACCCGATGCTCTAGGTCAGCATCGACCCTTCTCCACACAAAGGCTCTATTAATGTGGCCTATGTGCATGGTATGATTGAAAATTATGATGACCTCATCTGGGGGGAAATATCAGTTTAGACCAAGTGGCACGTGTGATATTTTTGACTCATGCTGTTTCAGTTAATAATCTAATATGTCTTAGCTCCTTGTAGTCCTGAAATAAAAAGTGTTTCAAAGGATGCATTCTCCATGATTAACGTGCACTGGCGACCTACGAATGAGGATGCGACTTACACGGTGACTGCCCAGGGGGAGAAAGGGCTGTATCGGTGCAGCAGCACGGGAGAGTCTTGTACCATGGGGGCCTTGCCCTGCGGCTCTCTGTTCTCTGTCACTGCTGTGGCTGAAACGCAGGCCGGACAGAGTCTGCCCAGCTACAGCGTGCCCCTGGAAACAGGTATGGAGCTCCCAGCCTGCATTTTGACTTCGATAGCATTCTGTTTTTAAAACACAAACTTTCTTATTTAATCTACCCTTGGTGTGGCAGAAATATATTGAATTCAGAGGCTTTTAAAAGAATCCTCATAGGGGCCAGCAGGTAGCATGTCTGGTTAAGGTGCCAGACTCCCACATGGCCAACTGTGGTTCAAGTCCCCGATGTGGTGGTTTTCTTTCTCACTCTCCTTCTCTTTCTCTCTCTGGTCAAATTGAAGAATAATAAGTAAATAAATATTTAATAAAGAACCCACCATTGGGCTGGCAGGGGGCATTGTAGTTAAGGCACTGGATTCCCACATGACCAATACGGTTCGAGTCCCAGACCTGGAGGCTTGCTTTCTCACTTTCTGTCTTTCTTCCTCTCTCTCTCTCGGGACCACACGTGCCCTGTAGCAAACTTTAAAATGATAATAATAATTAATAAAATGAATAATTATTTTTTTAAAAGTTTAAAAATAGTCTATCTTAGAAAATAAGATTTTAAACATTTTATAGATTCTGAAAAACTATCCAGCCAAGTCATCATGTGCTGGTTGATGCTTAAAAATATCATCTAAAGGGTCCAGCCAAGTCATCATGTGCTGGTTGATGCTGCTACTTGACAGGCTGAGGCTACATGGGAGGCCCAGGTTCAATTCCCCACACAACCTAAAATCTGGTGTGCCTATAGTCCCAGCTACCTGAGAGGCTAAAGCAGGAGGATCACAATATATATTGAGGCCCCGACTTACAAAATAATAATTACAAGACTCCTGTATATTCCTACATTGATATCAAAGGAGAAATACATCAACTCTGCAAAGCACTAATTGGAATTCATATTTTCCCATGATATAATCTAGCAAAACGGTTTGCTAGCAATCAAATGAGCTGATTTATCATTTATTTCTTTGGTTTAGTCCTCTCAAATCATTCTCAAAAAATACTTTTGGAGTTTCAATTTCGTAATGGGCAAAAGGGAGATAAAGGTCCCACAGGGTGCTTGTACTGAGTTAATGGGTGCTACTAAGCACTTTGCCTAGGGCCTGATGCATAATAAGAGCTCCACAGGAGAAAAGCGCTATTGCTCCATAGCAGTGTGTGTGAGTGAAATGTACCGAGTTACCAAAAGAGTGGACTTTATTTCCCTTATATACAGTGATAGATGTGCCACAGCATAGAAACAACACTGAATGCACACCAACAGCCTAGGTACCTTATGTCCTGTATAATGGATGCTTGAATAATTGAGTGGTATCTTAGGCGACTGAGAAATCAGGTCTTGGGGCCAGTAGGCGGTGTGGTGGTTAAGGCATTAGACTCCCACGTGACTGACCGTGGTTTGAGTTCTGGACCTGGTGGCTTTTTTTTCACTTTGCCTCTCTCTCTCTCTGGTGAGCACATGTGTCCTATAAAAGATAATAATAATAATAATAATAAATTAAATAAATAAATCATTTTAAAAAGAAAGCAAGTCTTTGTATCAGTGATGTACTGTATGATGAAATGCATGAGAAAGACAAAATACGTTTCATTGTAAAGGCTATGAAATGTTGTATCGGGAGAAGTGAATGCACTTGCTTTGAAATTCACAGCTGCGATTGTTCAAGTTGGGGGACAATTGTTCAAGTTGGGATTTATTTCTTATTCCAAAAGAACTTAGAGCCTCAACCTTACCCACAGTGAGTGAGTGCTCTGTGTTTTTGGAGAAAGCACTTAGGATATACAGATGCGGTACCATGGTACAGTGAGAATAAACAAGAGGACATTTTAAATTCACCATGAAAAGCTCGAGAAATTTAGAACATTGAGTAACACACAGGTCATTTTTCAATGATAACCTTCGATGGAAACAAATCTCCAACTTTTTTTCTTTTCCCCATTTAAGTGCCGTGCTGTCCTGCCGGTCTGACAGTAACTCAGGTCACACAATCAGTCGTCAACGTGAGCTGGACTATTGGGACAGTGGCCCAAACCTATGTGACAGTTTTGGAGTCACAGACTGGACAGTCAAAGTGTCAGACCCATCAAAACCACTGTCTCCTGGGATGCGTTGCGTGTGGCGTCAATTACTCAGTGGCAATAAAAGCAATTAGTGCCACTGGGCTGACTGCGGACTGCGCCCACCAAAGTTACTCCTCTAGTAAGTAAGTTCTCAACTCCACCTCTCGAGTATTGATAGGACTTGCCTTTTCTAAATGCAGGCAGAAGCCCTTCCGTCTTTAAAAAAGCTGCAATTCCACCTGACTGGGATTATAATTTCAGATTACTTTTCTACAGTGTCTACAGTTTTTCCCTTGCCTTAGACCCTCCAGGCTTCAGAGGCTTCCGTTGGCAGCTGGGGCTTTAACGCCCCAGGTAACAAGGTTCACATATACTTTTTTGGAGAGATGACACCATTTTAAATTATATTTTAAATGATGTAACTACCTGCAGCACAGAGTAACAGAGAGCCTGGCAGAATTTTCAGAGAGAAAATCAGATCATGTATTCTGTTTGGTTTGAAATTTTTCTTTTTTTTCCCCCGTTAGTTTTGATATATGGTATATGCACTCACCAGAGAGAGAGAGAGAGAGAGAGAGAGAGAGAATGAGAAATCACCCCTCACACCGCAATTCCTTCTCCTCCAGTCTCCTCTCGGGATTCTGGGCACGAACACACACACCCGAGGTGATTTTCAAGCCACCAGGTCTGGACTCAAACTGCACTGTTGGTTGTGCAATATCCAGATCCTCAAGCTCCATGCCACCTGCTTGCCCTGGAATTTTCCCTTTTTATTGTTGGGCTACAATCTCTGTCTTCTAAGCCACTCCAGCTTCTATGGTTCCTTACTGCAACAGGCCAAGAGCGCAGGCGTGTCTACTTGACAGTGTGTACCTTCTTCACCCATGCCAAGCTCAACACCGGGGAAGGTAAAAAGCCATGCAGGGTTAGCAAGTAATTCCTGCATGATTCTAATCCACTGAAGTGGCTGTTTGGAGCACTTTTTTGAAAAAATTCCTGAGGACATCCCCCAGGCTTACAGAGGAAAAGTGCAATGATCAGTTAGTTGTGTCTGCCAGAACATGAGATGAAAGACTTGAAATATAATTTTGGAAACCCAGAAGTACTAAAAAGCCTTCAACTGGGAGTCTAAATTAGACATGACTTCTTCTAAGCAATCTTGCCTTATTTTCTCTGATTCTATCTCTCTGTTGGTAAGAAAAATTATGAATAATAATATCTTCCTAGCTTATCCCCCAAAGTTGTCTTGAGAATCAAAAATCATAATGTGCATTTATAACATACTGTGCATATATGAATTGGATTATACTTCCTTTTTTTTTTTTTTTTTTTTTTATTCAACTTTTCTGTAGCGCACATGCCCTCACTGGAGAGAGAGAGACAGAAAAAGTGAAAAAGCACCCCCTAGGGGGATGGCCATGCCACAATCTCTTCTCCATTCTCCATTTGGGACTTTGGGCATGCGCACACACATGCCTGTCATGTTTTTCAAGCTGCTAGGTCCAGGACTTGAACCTCAAAGTTGGCCATGTGGGATCCAACTGCCTCAGCCACCATGCCACTGACTGGTCCATGAACTCATTTATTCTTTCTTTTAGTCCATTATCTTTTATTAGATTTGCTGCCTAACTTCTCACCATGATAACCAGTTCTGAGAAGATGGTCTATTGCTTATCTTCACACCTAAAAAAAATTTTTTAAAGAAAAAAACAAGTGAACCTGATTATGTATAATAATTTTTAAAAATTATATAATGACATTTTTGTTTTTGCTAACTGACACTTGTGACTTGCTCAAGATATATAGAAAAGGGGGGGGGGAACCCACAAAACAATGACCTAAGCAGTTCGCATGGATGGAGTGTGGACCAGTAATTGTGGTCGCTAGCCAGTTATGTAATGGGCTCCTCCTAAGGTGGCCTGCCACCTTATGACTTTTGGTTTTTTTTGGAGAGGTTTTTGCTATAGGGCGCATGCGCTCGCCAGACAGACAGAGACAGACAGAGAGACAGAAAGCGAGAAATCACCCCCCAGGGTGGATGGCCACACCACAATCCCATCTCCTTCATTCTCCTCTCGGGATCTTGGGCACGCATGCACACGCACCCAGCATGAGGTTTTTTTTTTTTAATTAATTATTTATTTATTTCCATTTGTTACTGTTAGTTTCTTTTTTTTTATTTGACGAGAGAGAGAGAGAGAGAAAGGGAAAGTGAGAAAGCAAGCCACTAAGTCCGGGACTTGAACTATGGTTGGCCATGTGGGAATCCAGCGCCCCTATCCACCACACCACCTGCTGGTCCCAGCGTGAGTTTTAAGCCACCAGGTCCAGGACGCGAACCGCAGTCAACTACATGGAAGTCCAGAGACATAGCCATTACGCTAACTGCTGGTCCCATGATTATGATTTTTTTAAAAATCATAAAAAATTATGTTTTTTTCCATCAAAGATGAATATCATTATTTATATTTAAACTTAATCCCACTAAAATCAAATGAAACTAGGGCATTATGAGGGTTCTTGACAAGGATTCTGGACACTTGACCCGTAATTTGAGTCATGCACAATGGTGTCTATATCTGCCAAGTACAGACCTTTCGTCACTGGTCTGTATGCAAAATGTAGGGGGTCAGAAGGTGGCATAGTGGTTAGAGCATGGGACTGCACATGGCTAACTGCAGATCAAGTCCTGCACATGGTAGCTTGCTTTCTCACATTCTCTCTCTCTGGTGAACACATGTGCCCTATAGCAAATTAAATAATAATAATAATAATAAATAAAATAAATCTTTAAAAATTTTATATCTCACATCATCCTCACATGTTTCTGATCTTGTAACCCACCATAGAAAAAATTCAAGTGCCCCTTCTAATCTTGCTCTAATCTAAACAGTGATTAATCATATTATTTAGAATTGTTTACTTATATTTTTTCTTGTAGCAATATAGAAATGTTCATGTGATGGTAGAATTAGAAACCTTGATTAAATTAATTAATTTTGCATGCTAGAGGGCTTACGTGTATGCACGAATGAGAGAGAGAGAGAGAGAAAGGAGAGAGGGAGAGAGAGAGGAGAGAGAGGAGAGAGAAAGGAGAAGCAGCTCCCCAACAGAGCACGGACATGGCACAGTCTTTTTTCCTGCTAATCCTCGTGCTGTCAGGATCTTGAACACATGCTTGCACACCCGTCCTGTCTTTTGAGTCTCCAGGACTCAAACTCTGGGGGCTAGCACATGGTGCAGCAGTGATGTCGCTGGACTCCCACATGGCCAACCGTGCTTTGAGTCCACGGCTCAAACTCTGATCAACCATGTGAGATCTGGCTTCCTCTGTGCAGAACTTAATCTCTGCATTAGGGAGATGGCCCTTTATTTTACTTATGATTGACAGTGTGTGTATGTACTTGAGAGGGGCAGGGAGAGAGAGAGAGAAACAGAGAGACCTTGACTGGGTCTGGTTGGTCACACCATCACTCTCTTCCCCTAGTTTTTCAGCTCATCAGTATCTTGGATGCTCCAGGTCGACGAGGCCAGGCATCTGAACCTGTAGTTGGCCCTGTGACTTCCAGCACTGTAGTTTAGTCTGCTACTGAACATGGCCACCGTGTTAGACCAGAATAAATGTTCTCTTTGTTTGTGGGTTTTTATTCTGCAGGTGCCTGCTGCCCTTTAGGGGTGAAATTATATAGGCTGGGCCCTAATGGCATTCGGATCTACTGGCAGGCCTCCAGGGGTTCTGCCAATTACAGCACCGACCTGTATGGCTCCAAAGGCATTTTCACATGTGCTCCAAGTGCTGGTCTCAGCTTCTGTGATGTCACTGAGATACCCTGTGGGGATGTGTACACTGTGATGGTCTCACCAGTCTCTGAAACAGGACGGAAGCTTACTTTTTGTCCAAAAAAAATATATTCAGGTAAAGTAAGATATGACTCTGTTTTAAACTAACCCTCAACTCAGATCTGTGAACTAAGCCTCAAAGCAATCACACTTACTTGCTATGTATGAAGGTCTAAGACAGGGTGAAAATTCTTCATGCTGCAAGTGGATTCTGGCTGACAGAGACCCTGAGCTCCTTTGGAATTAGGATACTTTACTATTAATTAACTTGGAGATGTTCCTCTCTTTCTTTTCCCTCTCTTCCTTTTCAGAAAAAAAGACCAGATGCTTGCTGCTTCAATAGTAGAATTATTTTCTGCTTTGATACTCGGGGATAGATTTTTAACATATTCCTTCTTAGGGATAATGATGGGACTCTGGAATGTTAGAAATTAAGAGACTTGGGACCAGCAGTTAGCATAATGGCTATGTCACTGAACTCCCACGTAGTCGACCACGGTACGAGTCCCGGACCCAGTGGATTCAACTCAACGCCTGGCGCATGTGCATGTGTGCCCAAGATCCTAAGAGCAGAATGGAGGAGAAGGAATTGCAGCGTGGCCATCCCCTCTGAGGGGTGATTTCTCACTTTCTGTTTCTCTGTCTCTCTCTGTCTTTCTGGCGAGCGCGCATGCCCTATAGCAAAAACCTCGCCAAAAAAAAAGAAAAGAAAGAAAGAAATTAAGAGACTTTAGTTGTTCAAACTGGGTTGTAGGACTGAGGAATAGTTGGAGATCAGAAAAAATGAAAGTATAATCACGAACTCCGTTTGGAAATACCAGTGGACAGACAGTTTGTGATCACGAAACATGATTGTCATTTCACCAGAGCTGGCAGAAAAACAGTAACAATTCTCAGGCTCTGTGTTCCAGCAACTTCTGCTCCCTAGCCCAGGGGATAGTCATATATTTTTCATATATTTCTAAAAGAAAAGGAAAAGAGAGAGGGATGTTGAAGCCCTAGAACTTTGCATATAAACACACTGGGAGGAATCGATACCGGCTCACAAACCTTTACTGATAACTAGATTCTAAAATGTTCCACTATATGGAGGTGACAAGGGGTTCGAGATGGCTTGCTTCATCATGGAAGAGGGCCAGTCCTCCTGAGGGCTGTTCTCACTGTCCTTGGCTGTCATGCTCTGATTCCTTGCTTTTTCATTGTCTTGCCCACAGGACAAGCTGGCCCCAAACACAGCCCTACGAGGACAGGAATAGGTTCTTGGGGTGAGGATGAACTCTTAGGAAGAGGCGGCTATAGCCAGTGACAATACTTAGTCACATTTTCATAACACTTCATAGTTTGTTAGGTGTTTCCTCATTCAGGATCTCGCTGAATGCCTAAAATAGTCCTAGGAGGCAGGTTGAACAGATGTTACCATCTCCTATGTTCAAGTGAGGAAACAGACTTAGAGGCTCTCGAACTCTATTGACAGTCTTTCTCTTCTAATCTCTAAATCCATATTTAAAACTTGAGGTGGCTTGGTGGTTAAGGGTGCTGGATATCCACATGGCTAACTGTAGTTTGAGTCCTGGACCTGGCAGTTTGCTTTCGCATTTCTCTCTCTCTTTCTCTGTTGAGCTCATGTACCTGATAACAAATTAAGATAATAATAATAAAAATAATTAAAATAAAATAAATAATTATTTTAAAAATATGTATATATGTATATTAAAAAGCAAAAACCAAAAAAACAGCAACAACTTGAGAGCTCCACCTACAGGTGCCTGGGGTATTTCTTACTTCTTGGGGCCAAAAGGAACTCCAGACCCTCTGTTGTTTCTGGTCTCTTCCCACTATCCTTGTTTTAGGTACATTAGCTGAAAGTCTTAGAGCTAGCTTCTCTCTTCCTCACCCCTCTTCTGGTCACCTTCTTGATGGTTCTTAAATCCAACTTTTCTTTTTTTCTTTTTTTTGGAGAGGTTTTTGCCATAGGGCGCATGTGCTCACCATAAGCACAGAGAGAGACAGAAAGCGAGAAATCACCCCCCAGGGGGATGGCCATGCCACAATCCCTTCTCCTCCATTCTCTTCTCGGGATCTTGGGCACGCACGCACATGAGCTGGCATGAGTTTAAGCCACTGGGTCCGGCACTTGAACTGCGGTCGACTACATGGGAGTCCAGCAACATAGCCATTACGCCAACTGCTGGTCCCACACATCCAACTTTTCTTTATTCTCAAAGCTACTCCTATGCTTCAGGCCCTCCACTCTACCTGAGACGACTGTACCTTCCTGCCTTCCTGTCCTCACTCCAGCCTTCCTAACCAGAGCTGTCATTTCAGAATACTGATCTGATTGTGTTATTTGTGTGCTTCAATATCTTCCACAGTGTTCCATTGCTCCACAGGATAGAATTCAATCCTTTCACTGTCCCTCACAATCCGTCCCTAATCTGTCTATACCTGCTATAGAAATTTAATATGAGCCACATGTGAAAAATGTAAATTTTCTAGCCAATTTTAAAAAACAAAAGAACTAAGTGAATTAATTTAATAATACATTTTAGTTAACCCAACATAGCTAAGACATTACCTTTTCAATACCTAATCAATATGAAAATAAATTTGAAAAAATTTTTTATACTAAGTCTTTGAACTCTGGTATTCATTTTGTACTCAGAGCACATCTCAGTTCAGACTGGCCACTTTCAAGTCTCAGTAGCAATGTGTGGTAACTATTTTCCAGACAGTGAAATTCTAGGCTCATTTCACAACGTCCTCCTGAGAGGATCTATTCTCTGGTCTAGACACATGGAATCATTTACACCTACCTCAGTCACACACACATACCATGCTCCCTCAAGTTTCTTTTATCTTTTCTTTTGAGAGATTTCTGCTATAGGGCGCGTGCACTCGCCAAGAAGACAGAGAGACAGAAAGCAAGAAATCACCCCCCAGGGGAGATGGCCACACCGCAATCCCTTCTCCTCCATTCTCCTCTCGGGATCTTGGGCACACACACACACGTGCCTGGCATGAGTTTAAGTCACCATGTCCAGGACTCAAACCGTGGTCGACTACATGGGAGTCCAGCGACATAGCCATTACGCCAACTGCTGGTCCTGCTGCCTCATGTTTCTTAGCAAATGCGGTGCTTTTCTCTGCCTGGAATTTCACCCCCTTTTCACCAAGATAACTCCACCAACCCAAATTTCTTCCCATTTATGAAGCCTTCTCCAATCCTCAGGGGCAGAGCTAGCCCTTTCTCCACCATTTATGACCCCATGATACCCTTATCTTTACCACGACTTATTACTGTGAGTAGGATGTTTATTTCAGCCCCAAAATGATTATCTCTGACTCTCATACTAAGCACATATCTGTAACCCAATATCTTTTAAATTAACAAAGGAATAAATAGGGCTGGCCTGTGGCCTAGTGGATCCCACATGGCCAGCTCCCCAGTTTGAGTCCTGGACCTGGTGACTTGAAAAAATGCCTCACATCCTGAAAGGCAGGAGAGATGGAAGAGAAGACTTTGTGGCTTGATCATTTTGTGCAGGGACTTTCTCGCTTTTTCTTTCGCTCCCTGTCTCCCTCCAGTGAGTGCACACACCATTCTGGCAAATTGAGAAAAAGAGAGGAGAAAGAAAGAAAAAGAAAGAAAGAAGGAAGGAAGGAAAGAAAGAGAAAGAAAGAAAGAAAAGAAAGGAAGGAAGAAGGAAGGAAACAAAGACATAGAACAGAAGAGAAAGAGAAAGAAAGAAGAAAAAGAAAGAGAGAAAAAAGAAAGAAAAAGAAAAAAGAAAGAAGGAAGGGAGGAAGGAAGGGAGAGGAATGAATAAATGTGCTTACGTCCCTGTGATCATTCAGCTGAGCCAGTGGGGGAGTGGACTGTTTTGCTCTTTTCTGGAATGAATAAACGTGCTTACGTCCCTGTGATCATTCAGCTGAGTCAGTGGGGGAGTGGACTGTTTTGCTCTTTTCTGTCCCATGTCCATGAGTCAGTCCATACACTTATTCCTCTGATGGCTTGTGAGCCAGCAGAAGTCCCGGCTAGGTAGAACTCTGATCCCCTTTGGTGGGCTGCCATCTCAAGCCTGCAGCCTTACTAAGGAATAGGCACCTAGACTTGAAGTAGGGAGTCCATCTCTACTCAGTACCCTGGCGAAAATGAGGCATTCTGGAGAAATTTTGGTCTGTTCAGTTGGATTTTATCCCCCCAGCTATTAATGATGCCCTACTCTGATAATCATGACATATTGTAATTGTTAGTAATGTCTGATATTGGGCCATGCTGTGGGGTAGCAGTTAAGGTGCTGGACTCCCACATGACTAACTATAGTATGAGTCCCAGACCCAGTGGCTGGCAGTCGCACTGGGTGCGTGTGCCCAACATCCTGAGAGGAGAATGAAGGAGAAGAGAGCAGCATGGCCAGCCCCTCTGCGAGGTGATCTCTCACTTTCCCTCTGTCAGTCTCTCTCTGGTAAATGCACACACCCTACGGCAAAGACCTAAAAAAAAAAATTAAATAATGTCTAATATTTAGAAACCAGCAGGTGGTGTGGTTGTTCAGGCAACTGGATCCTATACAGGCAAATGGATCCCATACGGCCAACTGCGCAGTTCAAGTCCCAGACCCAGGCTTGAAAGTGACTCCTATCATGTGTACTCGCATGCTCAAAGTCTTGCGAGGAGAATGGAGGAGAAGAGATTGCCGGATGGCCATCACCCCTGGAGTTGATTTCTTACTTTCCTTCTCTCTCTATCTCTCCACAGCAACTGCAAACACCCGACAGTACATAGTAATAATGTCTAGGATTTATTAAGTCCTATGTACCAAGCACTATCCTAAGGGCTTTACATGTGTGAACTTAATTAATCCTTCTAACAAATCCATAAGGTTGGCATTCTGGCTCTTACCATTTCACAGGTAAACTGAGGCACAGGGACATGACTCACCCTAACTAAGAGCTCATCCTACTGGGATCTTCTCATTTATCATCCATATCTGTTCTTTTTCATTCTGTGCTTCACTTTCCTTTTAATCTTTCTCTTTTTTCTGTTTCGTTTTTGTTTTTGGAGAGGTTTTTGCTATAGGGTGTGTGCGCTCACCAGAAAGACAGAGACAGACATAAAACGAGAAATCACCTATCGGGGGGATGGCCCTGCCACAATCCCTTCTCCTCCATTCTCCTCTCAGGATTTTGGGTACACATGCACACATGCCTGACATGAGTTTTTAAGTTGCTGGTCCAGGACTCAACCCATGATCAGCTACGTGGGAGTTCAGCAACATAACCATTACGCCATCTGCTGGTCCCCGTTTTAATCTTCCTTAAGTTATCTCTTCAACATCTTAATGCATCGATAACTATATTCTTAATTGCTCTATTTTTATTTATTACAGTAACCTGCTCTGGAAGTACACTTGGAATGGGTAAGCTGTTTTTCTCATGGATAACGGTGAAAGGAATTCTCGTCGCATTTTAGGGTTACTTTATGAAGTCAGGATCGAAGTTGACTCTTCAGTTAGTCAGAAAGCCAAGTGCTTTCTTTCTTGGGTGCAAGGTGTTCCTGCTTTCCCCTTTCCTAAACTTTTCTCTCTTATGATACCACCTCCTTGAGGTTCCACATGTTGAGATGAATTTCTTTGGATTTTGAAGTCTTTCCAGTCTTTTAGGGTCCTGCACAAAAACATATTTTTCAGAGGGGCAGCCACTGAATTCTTTATATTTCAGAAAATGATTCCCAACCCTGCTGTACATTGGCACCTAGAAAGTTTAAACTTAACTGAGGTCAGCCCAGCTACAGTAGTGTACACTGGTAGATGATGCTACTGCCAGCAGGCCAAGATCACACAGGAGGTCCAGGTTTGATTCCTGGCCCACCCTAAAAAGCTGGTTGCAGTTAGCACGCGTCTGTAATCCCAGCTACTCTGGGATGCTAAGGTAAGGAGATGACAAACTCATGGCCAGCCAGGAAGACCTAGCCGGACCCTGTCTGGAAGAGCTGGGCATGGTGGTTCTGGCAATGCAGGAGGGAGGCTGAGGCAGGAGGATGGTGTCACAGAAAACCTTGTCTAAAACGTCACACACAAATTAACTGATGCCTGGGCTCTGTCACCCCAGGAAGTCTGATTTAATTGGTCCTAGGCAAGGCTGGGTATCAAGACTTTTAAGAGCACTTCAGGTGATTCTAAAGCATAGCCAAGGCTGAGAACTGCCACTTAGAGCAGTGCTTCTCACACTTAATTGTGCACACAAGTCATCCGGGGCCTTG